AATACTCATGACTTCTAGTAATTTAGCATTCCACGAATGTGGTTTCACTCTGGGATCGAAACTTTTCCAGTCCATTTTGTTATTAAAATCCCATGTGATAAGAATTCCTTTTGCATTGGTTTCCGAAAATTGTAGCTCTTTAATGTCTCTTGAATTAGTTATTGGTAATTTTCTTGTGACCACACCGATGTACGAGGTCTACCGTGGCTGTTATCATGTTTACCCCCTTTGTTTCTACCTCTATTACCTTCAATTCCACTATGGGGCCTTGATTAATTTCTAACTCCTTTGTAATAATTCCTTTCCTTGTTAATAATGCTACCCCCTTCCATTACCATCTTCCCTATATTTTCTCCAAATATGATGATAGTCTTTGTGTCCTAATGTTACATCGTCTACGTAGGGATCCAGTTTGGATTCAATGATGCATATTATATCTGGTCTATTCGTTTCAATTATAGTGTATGTTTGTGTGCGTGTGTGGTTGTATGTATGTGTGTGTCTGTGAGTGTCTTTGCGTGAGCTGGATTAAAAAAAAAACGAATCACTATAACTTTTTATATTTCCTCCAACAAGCATTCGTAGTTATAGGTACGGAATATATGCGTATACCGGAGTATGAGTTGTATTCTTACGAGGATTTATTTCCAGTAGAAGCGTTGAACTCCATTTCGTCCCTTATAAGGTCTGCCAGTCTTTTCATAGCCTGTTGAGAAGAGAAATTTTATTATGAAGAAAATAACTGCCAATAAACAGTGCCCAAACGAAGACTTATGGAATACCAATATGCCCATTTATTTCATTTACAGTAGATTTTTATTTTTACTTATTTTCATTTATTCCTATACAATCCATATTTTACGCCATTACTCAAAATCATTCGCCTTTAAAATCTTCCTTTGAGATCAATAAGTAAAAAAAAAAAAAAAAAAATTGAAACACTCCCGCCTTCACTCGGAGCGAAATACTACCTCGTCCAACATGTGAATGGTGTTGAAGGAGAAGGACACCCTTATGAATGGACACGGCTTGGCGGGGTCTGTCATGAAGGCGTTTCCGGGCACAAGGACCAGCTTCCTCTTCTTGGCCCGTTCAAGAAGCATCCCCGTCGTATCCTTAAGGCACGTGACCTAAATGAAGTGAAATGCCTGAGTCGAAAGTCCTGTTTAGTGTTTATATGTTTGTCTTGGCCCATTCAAGAAGCATGACTGACGTATCTTCAAGGCATGTGACCTAAATAAAGTGAAATGAGTTGAAAGTTCTTTTTAGTCTTTGCCTGTTCAAGAAGCATCCATGTCGTATCCTTAAGGCACGTGACCTGTTTAGTGTTCATATGTATATTTCAATAATAACTCGGAATTGATTCATATTTGGTCGTATCCTTCAAGGGTTTGTGGCCTAGATGAAGCGATTTTTTTTAATCGAGAATCCTGTTTAGATTTTTTATGTATATGTTAATAACAACTTGGAATGTATTTGTGGTTGGTTAATGTCTTGTTTCTAATGTTTAAGTACATTTTAAGAAAATTGGGAATTTGGGAATGGGAATTCTCACGTACCTTGAGCCAGAGGAAAAGGCCGCCAGCAGGAACAGCCCACTCGCATAATCCTGTCAGTAAAGATTTAGTTTCAGTTTCACTTGTTACAATGGATATTCTTTGATGTGACATACTGTCTGTTTTTATTTTGTTTCTAAATCTACCCGGTGTAAAAGGAATGGCCGGGGTTACCATCCACTGGGAGCACGCAGGATCGAACGCAGGTCAGCAAAATTGTAAGACCAGCAGCACGTTGCCATTGACTACACAGCACAAATATATAATCAATCTTGTAAGTTAGAGAAAAGGGTATAACAGAAGTAATCATCAAGAAAATGCTACCAACAGGACTACCTTTTAGATATTTCTCCGCAGAGGCTACAATGGCGTCTCTCTGTTGTTTGTAGAAAAGCGTGATGTTGTGCGAGTGTTTGAGGAAGCCATCCTCGCCCCATTTCCGAAGGAGTTCGCTCACGACCACCTGCCGAAAAGAATAGCCATTGCACACGGATGTCCCTTGGTAATGAAGGAATGAAGGAACTAATGCATAAATAAGCCATACAGAGCCACATCAACACATACGCTACCAAACACTTCCTGAATTATAAAAGAACCAAATGCATACATAAGTTATCCAGAACCAGACAAATACACTTTACGTAACACTTCCTGAATAATGAATAAAACCAATGCATACACAAGCCACACAAAGATAACACACGCTCTACCAAACACTTCTTGTATAATGGATAAACAAATGCATAAACAAACCTTACAGAGACAACACACACTCTACCACACTTTCTGAACAATGAATGAACCAATGCGTACAAAATCATACCAAGTCACACGTAACCCTATATTCCTTGCATATTAAACGTGTAAACAAACCAGAAAACCACAACACACACACCAATGTACACAGAGTCTCACGTACACTCACGTACATTCACATACACCTACATCCATCTACGTACGTCCACTTAACAATCATACATAAGTGCATATCTTTTTAAACAAAACCATACGAAGCACACACAATCATATCCACATAAACTAACAATCCTTGAATCATGAATGTTAACATCATATCTTTTTCACATAATCCACAACCAATGCGTAACAAACAATCATATCTTTTTCACATAAAGTATCATATCGCCCACAATCGCACTATCATATCTTTTTCACATACTTAACAATCATATCGTGTACTTAACAAATATCTTGAAAAACCACACAACATCACACACTTTCATAACATAATCCACTTAACAATCATATCTTGTATCTTGTACAATCATATCTTGAGTAACAATCATATCTTGTGATAACAATCATAACATCACATCTATCGTCATATCTTGTTCACATAATCCTCCAATCATAACAATCCATAACAATCATATCTTGTTCACATAATCCACTTAACAATCATATCTTGTCATACACTTAGACTGCCTGAGACATTAGCGAAACGCACTGATTCGAGACCTGGGCATGTAACATCATCTTGTCAACCAGCGCCTTGGCACCTGTTGTGTACCCGACCCTCAGACCGCCTCCCAGCGTCTTCGAGAAGGAGTCGAACCTGAGGACTCGACACTCGGCGTCTAGCTTCAAGAAACTAGGCGGAGGATTCTGAGGAAAAGGACATGGGTGATTTCCTCACACGTGGCGCTCCTACGGAATTGTTAGATTGTGGTTTATTGCTAAACTGGTTGGAAGTTCGTGTTAATTAGGTGTTCACTGTACGCTGGGTGGTTATGGGAGAAGAGTGTGGATTTCGTGACACTTACTCAAAAGTTTGATCAATAATTGTTTTATCTTTAAAGATAAGACAAATAAGAAACATACAAACAAAATAAATACCAACACAGATTATTTCAGATTTAAAAATAAGACAATGGAACAGACTCCAGCGTAGCCAACAGACACAAAATCAAAACAGACAACCTAAAAAAAAAAACAGCTAGAAAAAATACCCTTCCCAATAAAAAAAAAAAAATCAATACAAGCAAAAAAAAAAAAAAAATACAAGCAAAAATAAATAATACATGTAAAAAAGAAAAAAATATAATACAAGCAAAAAACAAACAAACAATATAAGCAAAAAAAATACAAGCAATAAAAAAACATTAAAAAATACAAGAAAAATATAAACAAAAAAAACAATACAAGCAAAAAAGCAAGAAATACAAGCAAACCAAATAGACAAATAAATACATAAATGAAAAACTAAAAAATAAATAAAAAATAAAACACCCACCTCGAGATAGACCTGGAGGTAGTAGGGATCGTCCTCCAGAATGAGGAAGTTGTACTCGCAGGCGATGGCGTAGATCTCCCTCCGCCTCGCCTCGCCCAGGACTCCTCCAGACGGGTTGGCGCCGGTCGGGTTGGTGTACAGGAACTGCGGCGGGAATGGGAATTTGGGAATTTGGGAATGGTAAGGGTGGATTCTGTGTCGGTTCGGGAATGTGAACGGGAATGATAAAGGTGGATTTTCTATCGGTTCGTGGATGAGAATAGGAATGGGAACGATAAGGGTGGTTTTCGTATCCATCACCTTGGAATATTATATGGGTCTCTTATACCAGTTTAGGAATGGGAATAGAAATGCAATGGGGTAGCTCTTTTGTCACTTCGGGAATGGGTGTAGAAGAGGGATAATAAGTAATGTTATAATGATAACAATAACGATAACGATAATGATTACGATGATGATGATGATGAACAGGAGGGAAAGAATGAGAAGAAAAAAGAGGTGTGGTGATGATAATGACGATGATGATGAAAGTGATGATGCTGATATCAATAATAGCATTATCATCGATATTGAAAATGCGTAGCAGGATGAGTTATCATAATTTTCTTAATATCTTAATGACGATGATGAAAAATGATGACGTTGAGCTAAAATCAACAATAATCATCCCATCAAAAATAACAACACTAATAATAATACTAATAACCATACCAACCATGATACCAATAACAACCATAAAGACAAAACTAGAAACCACTCTATTTAGCATAAAATTGCCTCTTTACAAAGACCAGAGTCAAGAAGAACCCACCTTCGGGAAATCCTTGGTGGCTTCTCGCGCCTCCTGAGGGTTCCAGCGCGACAGAACGGCTCTAAGGGCTTCAGGCTTCATCCCTTCAGCGTCCGTCTCGACTGGGAGGAACCTCACCTGGTACGGTAACAGCTGGAAGACAGAGTTCGGTGGTCTGCGTTATTTATGTTGTATGTGTGGAGAGTGTACGTGGATGACTGAGAGGGAGGGGGAGTAGAGAGAGGGGGAGAGAAGAGGGATTGAGGGAGGGAGGAGGGAGGGAGGGAGGGAGAGGGAGGAGAGAGAGAGAGAGAGAGAGAGAGAGAGAGAGAGAGAGAGAGAGAGAGAGAGAGAGAGAGAGAGAGAGAGAGAGAGAGAGAGAGAGATGAGAGAGGAGAGAAAGAGAACAGACAGAGACACAGTACAAAGCCAAAACAAACACAAAAATCACCCCCCCCCCCTTCAAATAATAATAATAATAATAAAATCATAATAATAATTAATAATTAATAATAATAATAATAATAATAATAATAATAATAATAATAATAATAATAATAATAATAATAATTAATAATAATAATAATAATAAATAATAATAATAATAATAAATAATAATAATAATAATTAACAATAATAATAATGATAACGATTAACGAAACAGCGAATCCAACCCCGAAACCGAGCCACCGAGCCCAAAACCGCCTCACAACGTACCGACGAGATGACGGCGCTGTAGCACGGCTCCTCCACCAGCACGAAGTCCCCCGGGTTGACGAGCATGTTGAAGGCCTTGTCCAAGCCGTCCTGGGAGCCCATCGTCATCATCAGGTCGCGGTGGTGCCAGCAGGGGGGGTCGTGCAGCCGCTGCGTCAGGGAGGTCAGCTGCTTCAGGAGTGGGGAATATCTGAAAGGGTGTTGGGTTCAGGTGGCTGGTGTCGAAGGGTTATGTTTTTTGTTGGTGTTAGAATGGTCATGATCATAATCATTTTTATTATTATCATTATCATCTTTATTACCACCATTACCATCACTATCATTATCATTTTCATCATTATTATAGTTTTTACCATTATTGTTATTATTATCATCATTATCACTATTATCATTATTATCATTATCATTGTTATTACTATCATTATTTCATTATAAATTTCCTATATTATCATTATCATTCAAATTATTGTTATTATTATTATCTTGATCTTATATCATTATTATTATCCCTATTATTGTTATTATTCTCTTTATTACTATTATCATTATCATTACTATCATCATCATTATTATCATTAACCTTCATTACTATATCATTATCATAGTCAACACAACCATTCTAAATACTATCATTATCACTGTGGTTATCGTTAAGAACATTATCATTATCACTGTTATTACCCCATCATCGTCATCATCATTATCATTCTCACAATTATCATTTTGGCCAATATTGCGATTATTACTAAAATCATTTCGAGCTTCATGCTTCATAAATATACGCTTTACTTTATCCAATTTAACCCCGGAGTGAGGATAATCGTATTTTCATGCATTACAAGTATTACGACAACTATTAACAACATTACATCAGCTGCATTGATCATATACTTAGCACAATGAGTATGATAATGATATGATCTATTACGGTTACGTGATTATTGTTGATATAATTAATTATTGATAACTTGATTTTTGTGGCTAATGTACTCAGCGGCAGCATCACTACTAATTGCTTCCGTATGCCTCTGGTGAAAATTGTTAATATTTAAAACAGAACTTTGTTTTTTTATTTTATTTTTGTGTGTGTGTGTGTGTATGGTACATTCATGATCAAGATAAGCACTATTCCTCTTAAACAGTCATTAAAAAAATACATACATAAAAAACAAATAGCTCAAGTCATATCAGCCCACCAACACCTAAAAAAGAAATATAACCACCTTCACCTTTTTACATAACAATAAATCATGATACACATCATAACTCTAAAAAATTCCACAGGACGCACAAAGACCATTTACCCGATAGTATTGCCGTATTGCAAGGAGTCAACCATAAGAGGAGGTGTTATCTCTAGCGCGTCACCGTCGGCCATCTTGAGAGTCCCGGATGTAAAGGGGAAATAAGCTGCGTTGGGGAGACCGCCAATAAGGTAGATCCAATCCTCTTCATCTTGGAGTTGAAGCTTGACTGTAGGATTGAAAACGATATCGTGTTAAACTGATTGGCTGGTTTTCGGTGTGTTCATTTTATCTTTGTCTGGTTACCTGTCCATATGTAAGTTTATTCGTCTGCCTCTCTGTCTGACTCTCTCTCACTCTGTGTGTGTGTGTGTGTGTGTGAAATTATCTGATTACAAAGAGTAAATATTCCATATTCTGTTCATGATACAAATTATGGCCCGCATTAGATGCATTTAGAACGTTCAAATAAATAATTGATATATATATGTAGGAATATATGGAAATATATATACATACATGGAAATATTAATACATAGATATATATGTACGCATACACACACAATATATATATATATTCGTGTGTCAAGATCAATAATGATTTGACATTTAAAATATGCGTTGGTTCTAATTGTAAAGATGTATGTATGTTTATTATTAAGATTTACATTGTGATATGCAACTTTATTATTATTCATTGATAGTATAGAAAAATGTTAGTTAAAAATTCTATGACCACTGTATCTTGGGTACAAACTCAACAAAGGAATTTATTCAGTCCACCTACGAGCCTTACGAACGTCATGTCATGCTACCCATATTAAAAGTGAGTCGAAATTAGGTTTTCTCAGGATTTCCTCTAATTCCCAAATCGCAGATAGTGGCAACACTACCGTTGATATAACATTATCTAAGTTCAAGATTATGTGGGATAAAAATTAT